GCCCGTTGGGCCTCCGGTGGGCCTGCGGCCTACGGGGGCGCGCGCCCAGGCCGGACGTGCCCTACTCACCGCGCCGCCCGAAGCATGCTCCGGGTCCCGGCCCGACTCGCCAGGGGCGGCCTGTGGCGGCACGGCCCGTGAGGCAGCGGCGCCAGCCGGGACGGCCGGGACGGGCGTCGGCGGCCACGGGCTGACCTCGGGCGCGCGGCCACGGGGCGCCTGCAGGGGCCCGCACCAGGCGAAGCAGGCGTGGAAGCCCGGCGGTTGGGGAAGAATAAAGAAACTCTTCTTTGAACAGTGACTCTGCATGTTGGGACGCAGGCCCAGGCGGCCAGTGCGGAGTGGAGCTGGAAACTCGTGCAGACTCAGCCTCGCAGGAAGGAGCGGGAGGCCGGGGGACACGAGGGCCTGTGAGGTCACCGTCACACCCGCCGCCCGCGCCGCCCGGCTCCGCACGCCCTTAGCCGGGTCCGGGCCTGCGCCTGGCGGAGACCTGTCTGGGGTGCGCTCCCCGGGGGCGGCCTCCGCGTCCGCGTCCTGTGGCGGGGCCCGGCGCCGCGGGGGCCGGCTCTTGGTCTTCATGGCTCTGGACTGGTTGTCCCGGGAGGAGGAAGCTGGGAGGGGGCCCTCGAACTGAAATCCAGAGCACAGGACACGGTGGTCACTGGCACAGCCAGGGGACACGCAGAGCGGCCCTCTTCGGCAGCCTCCTCGCTGAGGGCAATGGCACCAGGAGCCAGTGGCAGCCACTACTCGGTGCTCAGGAACCCCAGGGTCCTTCCCTTCGCACAGCCCTGAGCTGACTGCATACTGACCCCTCAGACCGGTCCCTGTTCTTGCACCCGCCTTCCCCCTGGGTGACTCTGGCCCACGCCCCTCTCTGTCCCCTGAGTGCCTCCTGAGCTCAGGTGACCTTTGACAATTTGCTCAGACCAACCAGAGAGGTGCCCCGACCCTAGCTTAGGGCGGCCCCTCGCCCGAGGCTGCGCTGCCTCTTCTTTGCTCCACTGACAGGCACGGACTCCAGCCACCTCGCTCCTGTCCTGCCCCGCTGGACGTGACACACGCAGGGGCCACATCGGGGCAGGCCCGCTGTGGACATGGGGCAGCTGTCGGAGGTCAGAGATCGACAGTGGCCCCTGCGGCGGCCCGCAGTCCCGCCGCGTGGATGGCCCCGGCAGGGGCTCCAGGTCCTGAGCCCCGCCACCGGTTTCTCCCCAGCCCCCACCCGGTCCTGCCTCGGAGCCCCTCCCCGGTCCCCACCCGGACCCACAGCTCCCGGCTTACCTGGGGATCCGCGGCTGCACGAGCCGAGGCTGCCCACGGGGGACAAGGACACGTAGCTTTAGCCGCCCCGGGCGGGGCCGCAGACGCCTGTAAATGGACCTGCTGGGCGGGGCCGGGGCGGGGCCGGGGTCGGGGTGTCGGGGGCGGGCCCGGGGGGCGGTGGCACCTGCGAGCGGGCAGGCGGCCCAGCCTAGAGCGGCGCTTTCGGGACCTGGGGACCCGGTGACTCGGTGGCCATGCAGCCCGGTCTCGCTCCTCCCGCCGCGCCCCGTAGCCTCGCCCCCCTCGCCTTCCCCGCCCCGCCTCCCGTCCCCTCCACAGCCTCCCCCAACCTGCGGCCCCTGCCCCGCCCCCCACGCCCTCCCCTCTTCCCTA